CATTTAAACCCAAGATTAAGTATTACTGTTATTTGGTTAATGTCACTCTCAATATTTTTAGTGTGTTCCGGGTAGACATAAGTCGAGTTGCCGGCACTTAAAAAATTTGAAATAGAGGCTTGCATACTTTGCATTACAGCTTTCTGTTTTCCCTTGTTCTTTTTTTGATTGATCATAAAAAAATAAATTAACAAAGAGAAAGAAAGCGTATGATAAAGCCATTTCAGGATTACTCTTATGTAACATATCCATATTAGGGAAAGTCCCTAATGCATTTTTTCTTAATATTGTTAAGCATGAACAGTTTATTGTTGGAGCTTATGTCAGCAGGTAGTACCAATAAAAAAAAGGATTTATTGAAGTCGTACAGTGGAAAAAAACCAATCTTTGTATGTTGCAATTCGTATAAGTACATATCACCAGCTGTTCCTAACCACTTCCTGTCCTGATTGAAGCATGTTTTACAAATATTTAATTACAGCCTTTCGATTACTGTTGTGTAGGGATCTTAATTCCCTAGTGACTTAATATACTGTTCTATTCGACTTCTTCTTGACTATAATAAACTACTACTAACGCGTGAGCAGCTAATATACTTTCGGATACGATTAGGGTTAAAGGCCTTAATTTTATTAATTTCTATGATTTTACGAATTTATAATAATGTCGGGTAGTACTGTGTATCACTCACATGCTTCCACAGCAATAATCAACATGTGTTGTCAATTGTCTTGATGTCTGGCAAGTGTCAGGAACGAGGGAGGAACGAGACAGGCAGGACAGGACAGAGAATGAATAGCTTCTTGAAGCAGGTTATTTATTTAAGAATAAAAGGCAGGGAAGAAAAGAGAAGATGATTATGAAATATATCTGATATAGAAAACTAGGAGAAGTGAAATTTATCAGCTATATTTATAGAGAAAAGAAAACAAGAAATTAAATAAAAGAATAAGCAATGACAAAAGTTAGTCATAGCTTATGTGGATCATGACAAAGGATTTAAAGAGCTGACAGATCAATGATGAATATTGAGTCTGAAAGCTGGTTACTCATATTGCATATTTGGGGCATAAAATGTAACTGTCAGGAGCGGACAGGCGGACAGGACAGGCAGAATAATACTTGCTTACAAGAACAAAGAAATAAAAGATAATTATTATTTTTATTATAAGAGAGAGAGAGAGAGAGAGAAAGAAGAAAAGACGAGAGAGGGTTGTTAGATAATATATCTGATGAAGGGGAAGAAAGAAGAGGGAAAGCTAGGCTATATTTATAGTAAAGGATTGTATAGATATTTAGCATAAAAATAAGCAATGACAAAGCTTAGTAAGTCATTACTTATTTATGACACATATTCGATGATTGATAGCTGACACGTAGATGACAAGGTGCTGACAAAGAATTGCCAAAATTAATGCATCTACGTGACACGATCATGACAGTAACAGGATCATGACAGCAAGTGAGTCGTTGCGGCGCAGCTGTACGGCGTGGCCAACGTTATTTTTATTTTATGCGAGGAAAGGATACTCTTTATTGATACTCTGTGAAACTTAAAATATAAAAATACAATTTGGACACCGATGCTCTCATGCAGCATCCTTCTTTACTCGCTTTAGCCTTTTGGGTATTGTTGGCCAAAATCTTTGTGCCGGCTTGGTACATCGATTCCACCTCTGGTTAAACAGTGGTACCGGCCGGACAATATGACTATACTTTAACAATCGCCGTCACAGAGATTGCTCTCCATTATGACTAGTGTATTTTCTATATCAGCCAGCAACACCCCATAACATTACCATTGAATTGGCTATAACAATTAATCACAGCCTTTGGATCGCATATTTATTGGATACTGAATTTTAAAATGAATCTCAAGTGTTGGGCCGGTACCACTGTTTATCCAGAGGTGGAATCGATGGACCAAGCCGGCACAAAGATTTAGGCCAACAATACCCATTAGGCTAAAGCGAGTAAAGAAGGATGCTGCATGAGATCATCGGCGTCCAAGTTGTATTTTTATATTTTAAGTTTCCCAGAGTATCAATAAATTTTTTTTTTGTAAATAAATTTTTATTAAGGGTAAGATTTAATAAAAAATTTTTAAGTCACACATCGCGGAGTGGTGGGACTTGATGAAACGGATGTTCGTGGATGTATGTAACATAGACAAGAGAATTAATCTAGGTTTGGGACAGGGTGGATAATCTTATTAATTTGCTGGATAATTTTTGACCCAATTTTTGGTAGATTGGCGACAGGATAAGGCCGTGGGTTGTCTGTGCCATGAAGCCAGTACAGGTTCCATATTTGCCAAAGAGTAGTAGAGACTATAGCGAGATACCACTCATTGTTTTGCATAGACAACGGATGTTTTAGGGAGCATAATTACTCATACAACATTGTTGGCGTAAATTCAAGAAACGAGTAGTAGTGGGACATAACTCGGTGCCAAAGCTGTCGCTTGATTGGACACTCCACCAAGAAATAAGTGGTTGAGTCCTCAGCCGTACCACAGAAAGAACATTGCGGAGAGGAAACGTTACCGAAATGTTTAAACATCAATTGTTTTGTGGGAATACACCTAGAGAAAACTCGATAGTATACGGTGCGCGCCTGTGGGAACATACGGCATCGCCAGAATTGTTTGATATTCCGGATTGGGAAGTTGTGAGTTGTTGAGCATTGCTGCTGATAGTACCTTCGGAAAGAGTTAGGCTTAAATTGGGTCCATAGATGTTGAAGTCGCATCTGGGACACCAAATTGTGAGAGGACCAACTTTCGGATGGTAGCGAAGGGGTAGGCGCGGTGTTACTGGCAAGTTTCAGTAAAAGTAATAGAAGAAAATAAAAATAGAGGTTTAAGATAAAAAGTACTTAAAAAGTGAGCACCAGACTATATACACTATTTCCCGAAATTATTGGCGCACTTTTCGAAAAAAATTAGGCTCATTGAGAGAAAAAAAATTGCTTCAAAGTCCGAAATAAAATAGGTTTATTTACAAAAATAAAATTGGTTCAGATATATAAAAAAAAAGGCTTAAAAATTCTTAATAAAATGGAACAGATTGAGGGTGAGCCAAGTGCACCAAATTGTGAATGCATTATAAAGGTTTACGCTCGATACAATCGCTGAACTTGGAGACAGAATACCTACAGAATCCTTTCAAATCACTCAAGAGAACTCTGTTGCAGGCATCTTGGATTCTGGAGGTCAAGGTTTCTTCACTTAAAAGCGTCTCTCTTTTGAGCTTACTCTTACACACTGACCAAAATTGTTCAATGGGATTGAGCTCAGGTGAATAGGGCGGAAGATAAATGCAACCGTAACCCCTGCCCTCAATATACAGTTGTATATCCTTATTTGTATGAATGGGTGCATTATCCATAATGATGTAATGCCCCTTAAACTCGTCATGCTGGTCCATAACATCCAATGTACTGGCAATAAAGTTAAAGTAGTGGCCTGTAACAGTACCACCTCTCCCTTTCACATTGGCAGAATTCACTACACCCCCATTTGCTTTCCTTTTCTTTTGAGGAGCTACCGCTTTTGGACGCTTAACTCTCATATTTACAACGCCGAGACTAGATACAGCACCAAGTATAGTTGTCATTCTAGCTCTTGTTTTTGGAACCTGGACAACTGCTCTAGTACCTTTTTTTGACCAAGCAAAAGAGCGTTTCATGTTGATATGAAATGCTGCTTCATCCATAAATACACAATTGCTCATATAATCCATGTCAGTGTCCTGCCATTTCTTGACCCATTCATATCTTTCCTCAAGTTTTGCTGGGCTATTTCGTTCCACTGAATGAAAATGTGCTCTTTTCAAACTGATGTTGCACTTTTCGGTCACAAATCTATGCAAACCAGACTTAGAAATGTCAAGATCAATAAACTGAGTCGTCAAGCTTTCCATCATTTCGTCCAGCACAATATCAGGCTTGTTGTCAATCAGCTCAGTCAAATATCCTTTATGTTCATCATTGAAAACAGTTGGTCTTCCTGCTGGTCTACCGCTGCCAGGTTTTCTTCCAGTTACTTCCACATTGTTGTTCTCTTCTTCTTTTTTAAGCCAGTTGCGAGCAGTCGTGGGAGGTATATTTAATTTTGATGCGGCACTACGGACGCTACATCCTTTTTCATAAATTAAAAAAAAAAGAGCTTCCTTGTCCTCATCCTTGTAAGATCTATAAGTTCCCGGATTACCCCCTTTATCGGTAGCTATTTGAGAAGGACTTGCCTCAATTACCTCTCGTTTAGGTGCCTTGCGTTGTTTGGGAGCTTTCTCGGTTGGCTTCAGATCGAGATATTGTCTATATTCAGTTATCTCGCCCAAAGGAAAAAGGTCGTCGTCGACCTCCATGTCAAGAACTGCTACTTCATTTCCAGTGTCATCGTGTAATCGTCCTGTACCATCGTCATGCAAAAAGGTGTTCATTTTAATAAAAAGAAAGATCTAATTTTGCGCTAACATTTAATATTTTTTTGGGCTAATTTTTTCTATTTTTTTGAGCCTAAGCATTTTTATTTATGGGTCAAATTTTGATTTGTCAATGAACCTATTTTTTTTCGGACTTTGAAGCAATTTTTTTTCTCTCAATGAGCCTAATTTTTTTCGAAAAATGCGCCAGTAATTTCGGGAAATAGTGTAGTTGTCAACTGAAAAGATAAAATATATTTATATAAGAGGGTAATTTATACGACGAAATCAGATAAGAGTGGTATTCGAAGGAGTATAGTTAAATACGTAATGGAATAGCTACAATGCTGATTTTACAGAAGGAAATTACAAGCAATTATAATAAATACAAAATCACAAAGACTTAAAGTATTAAGACTTATTCAGATTAAAGTAAAGAACAAACTAATTATTTTATTATGGATTTTTGGGAACCTTTTATAGAAAAAGGTTCAAAAAGCAGTCAAAAAAAAATAAAAAAATCATAAGTCAAAACGACAAAAAGTGCCGTGTAACAGCGGTAAGAATATGTGGCTATACAAAGGCTTCGAGTTTGCTAGTGCGATTACATAAAATATCATTGGCCAGAGTGTGACATAGCCGGGGAAATTGAGAAAATTCATGCGTGATCCGTAGGCGCAGCCGTTGTTGTTTTTCATCAAATATCAAAAAAAGTCCAGCAGCAAAGTTTCGATGTCCAAGTGACCAATGAAAACTATCTTGAACTTGAATGCCCTTGCGGAGTGGTAGAGCCCGAATAGTTGGAACAGGCACATTTATCATTTGAAGCTTTGTTGAGGATTGAAAGTAGTCAAACGTTTCAAATATGACATGCCATATGGAGAACTTATTAAGTACTGCGCTTTTGCCGAATTCCGAATCATATAATGGAAGTAAAGGATACAAAGATGAATTCTGAAAGTGACTTAGATGATCACGCATGATGGGAAACACAAATGATGGACACCCGGTGGGTATTAGCAGATAGTTCAACCATCGCTTTTGAAGGATCTTATGTTGGATTACCGGGTTTAATACTTTGAGACCACCAAGCTCATGAGGTAAAAAGATCAGTTCCAGACGTAGGCTTGGTTTCTTCTTTTCCCATACAAATTGGTAGACTGTAGATCGAATGATTTTGAAGAACTGTTTAGTCGGGTTGAATAGGCGTAAACAATACCATAATTTAGACAGCAGTAAAATATTGGCGATAGTAACTCGGCCTTGGATAGACAGCTGTCGTTGAAAAAAAACGTGGCTCTGATTTCGAATACTAGTTACTAATTTACTCTCCAGCGATTGTCGTTGTTGGGCAGAGTATGGTAGGTAGAAACCAAGATATCTCAGTATTGAAAGTAAAAATTCGTGATAGTAGGTCGAAATAGTTCTAGATGTTAGAAATGTTTCCCAATCTCGATCATATTTATCATTGAGTGAAAAGGCTTCGGATTTGTCCTCGTTGAATTTCGCATTAGACACCCTAGCGTACTTATCCATTTGATATTCGAGACCGTCCATTTCCAGAGCGTCTTGTATTATCACACAAACATCATCTGCATATGCTAAACATTTGATACGAACACTGGCAGTATTGATAGTTGAAGGTAATTGAAACCCTGTAATGCTATCATCCTGCAGTATGGAAAGTATAAAAGGTTCGAGGGCCCGGTTAAATAATAAAGGTGATAGTGGATCGCCTTGACGTAAACCACGCTTTTGGGACACCGCATCCGTGAAATAACCATTAATGTTGACATAAACGGTATTATTAAAAAATAGTCGGTGAATGCATCTGATAAAAGTCGTGGGAAAACCGAATCGTTCAAGGACACGGCACAGGTATAAAGGGTGAACCCGATCGTATGCCTTCTCTTGGTCCAGTAAAATCCCAACACCGAGACATTCAAATCCACGTGCTTGATCTAAGATCATTGACAGGCTAGGCCATTATCTCCTACGAATCTTCCAGGTATAAAACCCGTTTGATAAGGATTGATAAATTTGTCCATCATCCGACCTAACCTTTTAGCGAATAAGCGTGTAAAGATTTTGGCGTCACAATTGATTAGGGAAATTGGTCGCCAATTCTTCAGTAAAGAAAGGTCCCCTTTTTTTGGAAGTAGACGTACTCATATATCTTGCCACGATTCAGGAAAGACCCCATCCAAGGCTTGGTTATACAAGTCTGTCACAAGTCGTTCTAACATGGGAATTTGGAATAAAATTGCAAGATAGGGATAACTAAGACCGTCTGCGCCAGGGCTGCTTTGTTTGGTTAAACGGGAGGCATGATCAATCAGCTCATCAATTGTAAACGGTTTCACGAGTGTTACCGCATCATTAGGATCTAGCGTCTTTGGAAATTGTATGTCACATAGGTAATCTTTAATGACATCGTCCCAGACTGGTTCGGCATCGTATAGATGTTGGTAGAACCGGTGGGCTGACGTCTTCATTTGATCTGTATCATCAGACACTGTGGGAGGGGTATCGGGGTTAGACGAAGGAAATTGTATACCAGACATGTATTGTTTAGCGGTTCAATTTTTGTGAATAGCTTTAAGATACTTGGCAGATTCTTCACCCTTCTCACGCCAAACCACACCGGCTTTTAACGCAGAGATATCAACCAGCTCTTGTTGCAATGTCTCCATCATCTGATCCAGTTTTGGTAATAAGAGTAGAATTGTTGCTAGAGGTGATTTAGGGCCCTCGCAAGCACATCAAACTATTTTTTAAAGATCCCGATTAAGGACATTAAATTTTTTTTTTTTTTTTTTTTTTTTTGTGAAAGGTTACTTCAGACTTCCAAAAGAAATCTTTTTCTGAAATCCATGACGTTGCTTTTTAAATGACCCAATTTGAATGATTAATAATAAAGTTTTCGCAGATTACTAAAATATCTGTTCCTTTATTTTTAAAAGACAAAATTTCAGTTTAACCGATTTTTTATAATTTTAAAAAGATAAAAATTACAGTTTACGAATGATGACCCCACAACAAATTGCGTTTATCGTGTCTCAGTTGCAGCTCCTTATAGTTCAAATCAACGAAGAATCTGAATCTCTCGAAGAAGATAGAATGGAAATTCTTAATTCTACTGGACAACGCCTCGTAGAAAATATGACGACTCTTCATTCCAGTAGAGAACTTTACCAAGCAGAACGTCTCCAATATGATTTTATTGCCAGCAACTACCGCAATCAATATGGAGTTTCTATTAACAATCGCCCCATTTTATGATGGGCGAACATGTAGAAAGAACAAGAACAGTAATTAGTGCTGATGGTAGACGTGAATCGCGTCGATACCACTTTTGGAGATTGGAACACCCATTCCTCAATGACAATGACGAAAACCAGGTCAGTAGTTATCGGGCCAACTACCGTATGGGTAAGCGTGCTTTTCAGCATTTGGTGAACGAGCTTTCGGCACACGAAGAATTCAATCTTGTTGCTCCCAATACTATTCCGATTTATATCCAAGTCGCAACGGCTTTATTTCGGTTGGCTAATTGCCATATCGGATATCGTCAAGCGTATATGCTTTTGGGTGTTTCATCAGGTAGTTATAACAACTTCACCACAAGAACACTCAAAGCAATTAAGGATCAACTTGGTCATTTATTGACATGGCCATCAGACCCTATCAGAGCCAATGCGATCGCTGTCGGTTTTGGGAGTAGCACTGGGGATAGATTGAATGGTGTGATTGGTGCTGTGGATGGTAAGAACTTTATCATTCACCAACCTTCCCCTCCAACCGTGGGTGCTATGTTCAGGGATAGAAAGAACAACTATTCCGTGAAGCTTACTGCCGTATGTAATTCTGCATTACGATTCACGTATATCAAAGTGGGTGACTCAGGTATTGTAGTAAAATGATCTACGATGAAACAATATAAAAGCTAACACAACAATATTTACTTCAGGAAGAACGCATGATGCTGCTGCTTTCCGATCAAGTGATATAGCGAGTGAAATTCTTCGCCACCCAGACATTCACTTTCCTGACAACACGTTCATGATCGGTGACTCTGCCTATCCTTTGGGACCCAACTTGATCACACCATTTCCTGAGAGTCAATGCGTGTTAGACAGTCGCAAGCGTACATTCAATCGTGTACATTCATCTACAAGAATGGCGATCGAAAGAGCCTTTGGTGTGTTGGTGGCTCGTTGGAGATTTACTGGCAAGTACATTTACATGTTGGACCAGTTGAAGATCAACGAGGTGATTACCGGATGTTGTATTTTACACAATATGTGTATCGACCTTGGTGATACCGGGTTTACCGACACTGTTCACCTTCAAGATCATAGTGCAGCTGTTCCTGAAGATGAAGACGCACCTGATGTAGGCGGTAGTAGCAGAAGGATTACCATTTTTGAGGAATTGATGAGACGTAGAAGTAGACGTGGGGCGGCTAGAGGGGGTAGAAGAGCAACTAGAAGTAGAAGTAGAAGAAGAACTAGACTTAGAAATAGAAATAGATAAGTATAGAAAACTTTTTGTTTTATTCAATTTTATTTAAATGATATTATCTGTAGAAGGATTGGGAGAAGGGGGATTGTTGTTGCTGGTGGTAGTGGTAGGGGTGGGAGCACGAGTGGCATTGTTGTTTTGAGCAATTGAAGCAGCAAACAAATCTACCATTCGGGACATGGACAAAGTAGCCTCTCTTAACAACTCAGTATTTTGTCGTCTGTAATCGTTGTTATGATCCAGTTGATTTCGTCGGTATGCATCTTCTTCAGCCATACGAACAATATCTGCCTCTCGTTCAGCAGCCAAACGTGCACGATCGGTATTCCTTTCTTCGATCATACGAGCACGATCAGCTGCTCTCTCAGCCCGGCTTTGAGCTTCCATTTGCTCCATATGGTTTGCCATAAACCACATTGACACACTTACATTACGTGGACGTCTTGCATTTACCTGAGGAACGACATCCTCATCCTCATCCCCATCCTCTTCATTATCATTATCGACTTTGAATGACCACGTCTTCTGGTGGCATAATCACCACGGTTGTCCACAGTTTCTCCGGAATGAGAGCTGTATGAAACAGGAGGGTTTGTAGTTGGCATTTGTATTGTTGCCTGCTCCATCAAATCATGAAACTCCCAGTGTTGAAGAGGTGCACTACCAGTAGAATTAGCATCGTCTCGTCTGCTTCGATACTTAGCATGAAGAGCATGCCATTTAGTGGTCATGGCACAGATGTCTCTTCGGCCATTGACGGCTGCGTTGTCATTGAAGGCTTTTTCTGTCTTTTGGATTAAATCTGCCTTTGCCTCATTTGAGCTAGTCACACCCGCTTCAACAAGATACGCAGGAAAAATTTCAATCAATACATGTGTGCTTGGTGAATCCCAGTTAAGGTTGGTGTTAGGCTCTGGTACGGAATCGGCAGCCGAAATTGGCTCAGCAGCAGGAGGAGGAGCTTGCTCGGTAGCAGGAACAGGACCAGCAGAAGGAACAGGACCAGCAGAAGGAACATGTTCGGAAGATGGTGCATGTACAGAAGAAGGGGTAGGTACAGGTTGAGAGGATGGAACAGGTACGTCAGTGGGAATCTGTGCAGCAGACGGAGGGTTTACTCTGGGTCGGCCTCTTACCACAGGAGGGTTTGGGCGTTGGCCATTGATGAAGTCAGCACTTGAATAATTTTGGAAACTCATATCTGTAAAATAAAATGGAGATGGTAAAAAAAAAGTAAATCGATAAAAATAAAAGGCTCTTATTGAAAAATAAAACAACATTCGTGATTTCAGTAATCGGATTTGGACATTAAATAATCTGATAGAAGGTTTTTGGGGTCTGCAGATTTTAATTCTTCGTTTGGACAATTCGGATTTTTTAGCACTGAAAATATTCAATGTTGTTATTAATCGTCCATAAATGTTATTAAAATTTTAAAAGATTCTATTTGGAAAAACTGTAACCTTTTACAAAAAAAAAAAAAAAAAAAAAAAAAAACAAATTAATGTCCTTAATCGGGATCTTTAAAAAATAGTTTGATGTGCTTGCGAGGGCCCTTAGACCTCAACAATCTATTGCGTTCACGCTCTAAATGTTTCAAAGATGATGTTCGCCAGGAAACATGTTTAATGCCAAATGATTTGATACATTGTTTGGTGACAGTTTTAATTTTCTCCCACAAAAGTTGTGTATTATTTGTGTCGAGTTCAATTAGAGTTTGCTCAATTTTTGCGGAAAGAATGGCTTGAAACTTTGGGTTTGATGCGTAGGCTGGGTTGCCGCTCCATAAACCGGGGCCCATTTTTGAAGTGCCTACATTTAATTGAAGTTGCAGAAGTGCATGATCGGACCAGTTGCTCCGAATATACTGGATGAATGCATTTTTGATGTGATTCTTCAGTGTTGATCCGAAGTATATATAGTCAATAGTTGACGTTGTACCGATTTGGCGTTGAAAAGCGGGTAAGGTATCCATACTGTTATGAATCATGCTGTTGTAGAACAGTGAGTCAAGTTATGTAATCCATTGAGTGGATGTTTTAAATAATCCTTTTCGGCTAGTGATATCGCGTGCAAAATCATAATTGAAATCACCTGAAATAATCAGTTGGCTAGTATTAATAGTATCTGTTATGAGGTATAGCATGTCACAGATGGATTCGAAGAACTGTCGGCGAGCCTAGTTTGATTCGGCTGGGGCATAGATGTTGAGGATGTAGAAAGAATCGTAAAAGTTGTGAGGGTGATGTACTTTGCACAAAATAAATCGATCCGACGAGAAAATACGATCAGTAGAAATCTGAGTCAAAATAAAATCAGCAGAAAAGGAGACAATACCACAGTGGTAGGTCCAAAATGTTTGTTGGGCTTGGAACTGGATATCAAGGGAAGGCATGGTAGAAGGAGTGGCATGAGTTTTTTGTAGGGATAAAATATCAAGTTGTTGAAGACGAAGATAACGAATATAAGACAACCGTACTGTTGAAGATTATGTCTTCACTAAACTGTTACAGTTTAGTGTTGCATAATTAAAGTTGATTTTTTTCCCCATTTAAGATATTATTATCTTTAGGAGAAGGCTCTGCCTCTACTTGGATTTTGGAGACAGAACCCGCAAATGTCTTAAACGTTTTAAAAGTTCCCTGAGTAGCGTTCTGAGACTTGCTACTTGTTTCTGAGTGGATTGTATGCATACTGGTATCCGTCAAATACTCATCCTCCTCATCCTCGATATTCGATTGTGTATCCTTAATTTCGTCATTAGGGTTATAGTCGAAGTCATCCATGTCGCTATCGCTATACAGTTTTTCGTCTAAGAAGATCCTTCTTTCCACTTCGAAAGTTGTACCTAATGTCAAATTGATCTGTTCTACCGGTACATGCTTCTTGTGGTGACCAGTCGCACTAATTGTCGTCTCTAATGAGGGTGCCCATTTGGATTTCATTAATTTCTCAGACGCATCCGGTTTAGCATCTTCATTTTGGGATTGGTCTTTGTAGGTCTTTCTAGGTTTTTTAACCGATTGGGTCTCTTTTTTTTAGACTTAGGGTCAGGACAGTCAGCTGCACGGTGGCCATATTTATCACAAGAGTAGCACAAAATACAAGCAGACGCTTTTTGCATTCATACTTGGTATGGCCTTCAGAGTGACAGAATCGGCACCAAGTAGGCATATCCGGGAAGGTCGCATAACAGTGTTGCAGCCAATAATAATCTGGCTTGTTGTTACACAGGATAGGATCTTTCTTATAAATACGCTTCGTTTTTTTCATTTCTTAATAAATATTCTTTAGTTTTGTCTTCACCTAAATTTGGGATTTATCTTGTAATTGATACTAGTAGTATTTCCTCCGCTTTTTGTTGCTGTTTGTTGTCTATTGTAAATTATACAATCACATCATCTTCTTACATAAACCCGTTGTAAACTCTTTTATCTTTGACATCTAAGAACTATATTCTCTTCTCATCTCTCACTGTATTATTATCGATTTGCATTTTATTGTCTTATCCATATATTTTATCGTCTAAGATCACTACAGAAATACTCTTAATAAATAATAAAACTAAGTTGACAACTAAAAGTCTGGTGCTCACTATCACAATTGTTATATAATAATAATTGTCCCTTTTTAAATCTAAATCCGTACTAGCGCTATATCAACAGTATCCCTCTTCATTCCAATTAAGTGTATGCTGGAGAGTGGCATACGATTGTCCTGTAACTTGCTGAATAATCGCATACCCGGTACCCAAAAACCATCATTCAGTGGATGAGTATCGGAGGCCAACATCAATGACCGTGCCAAATGATGCTAAAGCTTTACGTAAACCTTCCAGTATTTGGGGTTCAGGTAATAAAGGAATCTCAGAAAGACTTCGTTGGATTACCATTCCATCGCCTTCTATGGCAGGGCATGGAAGGATTCGGGTTTTTAATTTCTCGTAGTAGACACCTTCAGCTGTGAATTTTGTTAAAATCTCGTTAAATGGGTAGATCTCTATATATCGCTCAGAGCTTTTGCCTAAACATTTGATCCCGTAAAAATTTTTTGCCCCGGAGTATTGATGAGCAATGCTAGTGAGATGTTGAACGTCTGAGATCGTTGGACCCACTCTATCAACGGATTGGTCTAAATTTTGGAATCTCCCCTTGTCACATTCTTGCCGCAACGTCTGGTATCGATATATTCATAAGAAAATTCCTCATAGATCTATTCTACATAGATTTATGCCAGCGTACTTTCCAGCACCAGTCTGTCAATTATGCTCACATTCATCAGAAACTCTTGATCATTTTCTATTCGAGTGTCCTCTAAAACTACCCGTTTGGCAACAAATCTGGGATCACCATATCTCCCCATCCTCTATCACTTTGTCGACCGATATCCTGCGTGTTAGTCTTCATACTTTTCGTACCCTCCTGCCCAATATGCCACTTCTTCCTGATTCTAGCCTTCTCGCTTTCTCTGCTACTCTCGAATCCATTTGGTTGTGCCATTGGGCTTTTGTCTTTAACGATACTCCTTTTACTACTGCTTCCACTATCTCCCTCGCGTCCAAAAAGATTTTAAAATCTCAACATGAAGCACTTCTTCAATCTGGCACCCCTCATTCTCCCACTCCCATTTTCTCTGAGGACAGCTTATACTCCCTCCATTGGTACGACCTTCCGTTGCTCAGGCTTCCGCTAAAACTGCTTTGATTTATTTATTTTTCTAAATTTCGAACTTGTACATACTTTAACTATAACAAAAAAAAAAAAAAAAAAAAAAAAAAAAAAAAAAAAAAAACTCAAAAATAGAAAACCCAAAAACACAATTGTGACTATTTCCCTTTAATATCACTAATAAATCACAGAGACTCCGTCTCCATATAAACAAAAAAGAGATCGTTGGAACTTTCGAAATGTCGAGTAAAAAACCTTGACGAGATCTCGCATGGCGCCAGATGCTTGTTCTAATAATTTTATCGGTGTCAAACGTTTCTGTCAAGTCGTTACTGGCAAGTATGTCGCTGTCAATAAAGGATCTTTGGTGGTAGGGAGGCGTTTCGTTCCTGCGTCCCTGTAAGAAATTCCATTTTGGGGTCCCGGCGGGGGTTGTTTCTGTTTTTTAACGGAAAAAGACATGTCTCATGAATAAAGCAAAGAAGTATGGGGGAAGGACAATAAGGGAAAAAGCCGTTGTGGTTGACAGTATCAATAAAGAGTATCCTTTCCTCGCATAAAATAAAAGTAATATCCACCACGTCGAACAGCTGTGCCGCAACGACTCAATTGCCAGACATTAAGACAATTGACACAAGGCCCAAAAGAATTAGGATCCAAAGGTTTGTGTTACCCCAGCCAAAAAAAAATTGATTTCTGCCAGACTTGAACTGGCGACCGTCTGCGTGTTAAGCAGACGTGATAACCGACTACACCAAGAAACCACCTTTCTTTGATGCGTGCGCAGTTTGGTAATGATATCGCTTTTGTTTACTTTAAAAGTGGCTTGGTAATATTATTTTGGTTATTCTTCTTTGTTTCTTGGTTCTGGTTCCCTCATTTGTGGAATGTCGCGTTAATCTTGTCTGAGAAATGGAGATCTAGTTGGTACTGAGTTTGGCGGTGAGAAAAGAGTTTCTAAAAATACGTGATAAAGACCCGACAAATAATATTGCGGTGAAACTATTTTTGGTGTTCTAGAAGTTTTTCTGGTATTCTTTCTCCGAAGGTTCAGTTCGCGTCTTTTTGCTGCTTTTCTAAAATTGGCAGGTTGTTAATTATCTTAGTCGGTTACTCGTGAAATTCTCTTCTTTCTCAGTTACAATTATTTTTACTGTTATTTCGTCGCTCTCTCTGGTATCTCACTTATTTTATTATTACCTTCCTGTTTTGTTTAGTTCTTTTATTTTTCTTATTATTCATATTATTTCCATCATAGTTTTCCCGTACCCTTATTTTATTTGCTCTATTTTTGTATTGTTCTCATCATAGTTTTTCCGTACTTTTTATTATTTTATTCCATTTTCGTATTAGTTATTTTTGTACCATAGTTGACAGCTGTCAAAACGTCTATATAAGATTGTCTGATTTATAATAATAAACGTCATCGAATTCTTTCTTTCTGATAAACTTTACTTGTTTTTAAACACTTGTGATTTATCTTTACTTCTTTGCAGATTTCAAAGCTTACTAGTGCAAATCTATATCTTTTTGTCTGTATTCTTTAACAATTAGTCTTACAGTCTCCTTCTTGTTATTCTATACATTTGTTTATTCTTATTACTCTATACAAGGTAAACATAAAGACAATCAGATACATTTCATCTTTCACTTAAACATTTTTTCAAAAAGTTGTTATTGCATTTTTGAAAAGCCCTTTATCTCCTTATTCTATATACAAAATCTCACTTCTTGTTCTGTTAAATTACGCTCTCTACAGCCATATTAAACTCTCCAAAACTTGAAAATCCCCCATTTTTTCTCATTTTTATTAATTAAGATGAGTAATGGAATTCCCATCGAGGTTCCCCCTTTACACGGAAAACCTTCCCCATTAGGACAACAACCACCTGCAAAAGGCGACACCTGCATGAGTATCAGTACATCTAGTGCACAAAAAACCAAAAAAGACACAGAAAAAAATACAAAAAAAACAAAAGATAACAAAAAAATAGAAAAAGAAGCTACTACTACTCCCAAAACAGGTCAATCCCTCGCGCTCGTCTTGGCTCGTCCCAGCATGCAACCCAGTGTTTCCTCTCCCGTCAGCAATAAGCGTAAGCACAGCCCTACTTCAACCTCACCATCTCTCGCCGCCACTGTTTTCAAATTAAAATCAACTGCCACTGCCACCACTGAATTATTAGCTGATTTTCGCAATCATCGCTCTGTCATCAAATGCATCCAATGTAACAATTCCAGCTGTGTTACTGTTACTAATGTTCAACAAAACGAGGCCATTTTTACCTGTAACGTGTGTAAGCTCGAGGTATCACAATATGTCATTAGCACACAAATATCTCTCCTGAAAAAAAACAAAAAAACAAAAACGGATACTACTGACCGCAGAATTACCATCGTACCTGCTTTAACAGGTACAAATGAATCATTGATTAGTGAAGGCGATAAGCTTTTACTATCCAACTACCACACCATTCGACACCTTCTTACCTGTACCACGTGCAATAAAACTGGAACCATTAATAAAAATGGACACAACAAAAGCGTACCACCACGCCCCATTTTTATCTGTAAGTGTGGAAAAACATATAGCACCGACCAAATACGTATCCTCATGGATGCGTATGAACTACCCGAAACATCGCAATCAAGTCTACCTCTTGTTGAAGACGATGAAATTGAATTTGAACAGATTGAATTGGATTTAGGACTGGATGAGGACGATCTTATGCAAGATAGCCTTGTACTACCCACGCTCTCAACCTTCTCCACCAGCACAGATATTCCCACCACGCAAAACAACAACAACATCATCAAAGATTTAATTGAAACAATCAATGAAATGAAACAACAATTATCTAGACATGATGAGCAATTTGTAAACTTTAGTGGACTCATGGATCAAAACAAGCGTCTCCAGCGCGAAATCATTGTTCAAAAACGGGAAATAGACCACCTCCGCAAATTAACTGACCAATACAAAAAAGAAAAGGAAAGGATGATTGATTCAATCCACAAAAGCCAAAAAGATTCAATTGAACACCAAAAAAATGAAAAAAATAATAACCAAAAAGAACAAAAAAAAGAAAAAATTTACTTAAACCAAAAAAATAACATATCATATACTAACACTAACACCTCTACCCCTTCCAACAGCAATTTAGACTCTAACGAGCTGTACAATATTCACTTCCCTGAAGCCTCTGTTCTACAAGCTAACCTTCCTCCTCCTGTATCGTATGCTTCCAAAGCCTCTACCCCAAAAGTCCAAACTAAATTCATCAAGAAAAAAATGGCACACCAAACCTACCGATTCAACACACCTACACCCGAACAGCTTGAAATTGCCTCAAAAGCTTTTGATGATAGCATCCTTACCAACCCACCCGACTATCAATTTGTTCACTTTCCTTGCAACCGCCGTCTGAAACCCAGTGAATTAAGACAACGTCTCACTCTTTTGGGTGCAGACAATGTCCGAGTCATTGACGCTCACTGTCCTGACTACAATGTTGCTGAATTCCTCGTGCATGAAAACTATGTCGATGAATTGCGTTCCAAGTTTCGTTCTGCTCGTGTGGAAACACTCGACTACGATTTTACCGATCCAGTCCATCTTCGTGATTCTCGTTTAGCTTCATTGACTAATGAGGAAAAGGTACAAAAATTAAAAGAAATTCGTACTAACTACCTCATCAACCGCATAAAAAATATTCGTTACCCTGTTAACTATTCTGTAGCCAAGTCATTATACCGTAATGGTCACCTTACACTCGATGAGTTGAAAAAAACTTTGAAAGAGTGTCGTGAAAATAAAGGCGTTGACGGTTTTACCACTTCACAAAGCCACAACCACAATCAGCAGTCCGGTTTTGAAGCACCAACCCCCTCCTCTCCTTTATTATAATGAGTGATACAAACACACTTAATATTTCCTTATTTAACGCTGGTGGTATCCGCTCTGGATCCATTGATCACCTTATGCATAATATTCATCCTGACACTCATTTACTTTTCATCACCGAGACCTGGCTCTTATCTCCAGCATCACTCACTATACCCAACTCATGGCACCAATCACATTTATATGGATCCAAAGTACAAGATCGTCACTCTGGCGAATACGGTATCTCACTCCTTACTAGCCCTTCATTCCCTTACTCCGTCGTTACCTTTCCCTTCACCTCCAAATTCTTTTATGCCTGCCAAATTCAACATTATGTCCTTTTATGCTTTTATCTCCCACCATCCATGGATGATGATCTTGCTATTGATTTAATGGAAGAGGCTATTGCCCCCTTCATAAACAATATCGAAATCAAAAATATCATCCTTCTTGGTGATTTTAACGCCAGATTAGGTAACATCACTGGAGAAAAAAACAATACTACTAACTCTCGTTCCATTCCCTTCTTTAATTTCATCACCCATCATGGCCTTACCATCCAAAACATTGACCTTGCATACGGTAAACATACATTCATTAACAACACAGGTTCTAGCATTATCGATTTTTTTATTACATCCAACGATGATCTTACCGTTACACCGTATATGGAAATTCGAGACGACCTTCATCTAAACTCTGACCACAAACTTGTATATTTCTCATTCACTCATGATTTTAATCCACCAACTGCATCTATACCCCATCCACGCCAACTTTGGAATATTCATAAATTTAAAGCATCCCCCAAAAAACGCCATATCAGACCCATTCGTAAATACCGCCGCTGCATCTCATCCCCACTACAATCCTTGCAAGAAAAATTAGACCCAATTCTTTTTCAAGATTTTAGTGCATCAGAACAGCAACAATATCTAGACGATATGCATGTGGAATTAACATCCATCATTTATGATGCATTAGATTCTTCTATTGGCAAGAAAGAACCTCGTGACCGTGATTGGAAATGGTTCTGGACACAGGATCTGGAGGATGCAACAAAAAAACGGGAAAAAATATACAAAAAATGGCATCGAGCACGCAACATCAATAAAGCGCTTTACTGGGATCAACTCCAAGAAGCTGCTGAAGTTGTACGACGTCTTATCCAATCATCACGCAACAAATATTTTCGACAATTCTGTGATAAATTAGCCACCAATGAATTCAGCAAAGCCGCAAACAAAATCAGAAGTATTAGAAGAGGAAAATCGATCATGACGAGTACTCTTCAACATATTGATGGACCTCAAGCAGCTGTTGACCATATCACTTCAACATGGCAAACCGTTTTTAGCGGTAACAATTTAAATTTAGAAAACGAAAAAATACATATTATATACCCCCCTCCTGACGAAGGTTTCGACATTGGAATTCCCTTCAACATCGAGTCCATCGCTGATACTATTAGTTCACTACCGAATAATAAAGCGCCTGGACACGACCACATCAAGGCAGAAATGCTAAAACCCATTTCAGACATCATATCCCCTATCCTGTATACATTTTTTTCTCTCTGCTGGCAATTCGCCATTATACCCTCCGCCTGGAATATTGCTCAAGTCATACCAATCTACAAACAAAAAGGTGACCCCAACGACCCTATCAATTACCGGCCAATCAGTTTGATTTGTGTCTTCCGGAAGATCCTCGAAGTTTGTTTATCACACGTGCTTATACCCGACTCCATTCCTCTTGATCCCATCCAAGGTGGATTTCGTCATTCCCGCAGCACCTTAGATCAAGCCTTATGCCTCCAAGAACTTATGATTCATTATAAAAAGAAAAATGGTAAATACCCGGTACTAACATTTTTAGATATCAAAAGCGCCTATGACACTGTCGATCGTGACATTATCTGGAAAGCTTTACAAAACAATAATGACCAAATCTCCCCTCCTCTCCTTACTATGCTACAACTCATGTTTAACCATGTCCAAATCCAAGTTCTTTTAAAAGGTATCACTTCCACATCACCCTTCAATCCCGTCACTGGTGTATTGCAAGGCTCCACGCTCTCCCCTCATCTGTATTCTATTTACATTAATTCACTTGCATCCGCTCTGCGTGATATTGACACCTCTGACAAACTTACCTATGCTCATGTTAAACCGATTGACCCCATTACTTCTAACCCTTCCTCTAGCTCCATCACCATTAATTCTCTCCTCTTCGCCGATGATGTTGTCCTCTTAGGCTCAGCATCAAGTACCCAAAAACTTCTCGATATATGCCAATCTCATTCCTTTTCTCTTGGCTATCGTTGGAACCCTCTCAAATCCGCCATCATCCACCCACCACATACATCCCGATATGCCCCAACAATTCCCCCTTTCACCCTATATGACCAGCAAATCCCAGTTGTTAGTAGTTTCAAATACCTCGGTGTCTACTTCAACAGTACTGGAATTGACAACAAAACTATGATCCACCACAACGCTACCAAAGGAACCCAAGCTATGAAAATATTATCATCTCTTGGTGCAAATGCAACTGGGTTTGATAAATTTCTTTCTTTTAAATTTTACAAATGCTTCATTAGACCTATTTTCGAATATGGTCTCCCACTACTCACCCCTACCAAACAGGTATTTAAAACTTTAGAAACAGCACAAGACAATGCATGCCGTCTAATAGTCAATGGTCATCGTACCTCTTCAACGCATGTCATTAAACACATGAACAAAATTCCCGATATGGCGGATCGTATGGTTATTTTATGTGCAAAAAACATTAGGCGCACCCATCTTCTCCCTCACGAATCACTACTCTCCCTATTTATCGAACAACTCCTGCATGCCCAAACCTATTATTGGAAAAAGCTGCAGCGAAAAAACACCATTTGGCAACAAATTATCACCCCACTTTCCTTACCCCGCTCAAACCGACGCGTCGATGTACCTATCGAGACACTCGATCGCAAAATCAAATCTTACCTTCTCTCCCAACTACACCTCAAACAATCCAAATTTGTTTTGCTTGGAAAATGCAGACCGATAATAGGTAACGACCCAATTATGTATATACCCATGACTATTTTTGAAAGAAGCAGATTGATACGATGGCGAATGGGCTGGCTCCCTGGAAAACCTAAACCTTGTACCAACTGCAACCGAATTAATGCGCTCACAACACGATCTCATGTCAACGAATGTCTCCAAATAGATGCTAATCTAAACATGTACATTGACTCATTCCTCAACAAACTCCCTTCCACACCACCAAAATCTTCCGCCTACAAATTTTTCCTCAAGACACGCTGGATCGTGCTCTCTGATTTCCTTTTCCAACTTGAATCCATCTGCCTTCCCCCAGATGAGATCATTAATCCCGACTCTTCCAACAACCAACCATTCATAGACTGGATTTATTCCAGGTCGAACTCAGCACTACCATCAATTTTGGGATAAAAACCTTAATTTGACAGCTCACTACCCCGCAATTTCCTTTTCCGTCATCTTTTTGACAGCCCAACCCACCTTTAATTTTACTTTTCTACTACTTTTATTGTCAAAACATGACATTTTTTTGATTCAACTGCTACAACAACAACAATGGGGGGAAGTAATTAGTACTTACGCATGTCCTAGACATAGCACCTTACCCGAATATTACTCTTGCTATCTCGTATTGTAATTTTAATAAAACTCTTAACCTACACCAAGAAACCACTTTTCTTTCCGTTAAGCCTGTAATTGTCAATGGATCCGATGTTTCAAAGAATCACGTGACTAGCCGGGTTAGTCCGACCCGAAGTCCGGACCTTGATGTAGACATGCCTTTAGAAATCGAGCTTAGGCTCAAGAAGACCAAGAACCAGAAAAGACGATTTGTACCACTCAAGAATAATCATATGAATCGGAAAAGGTCAAAGCTGAATAACACCACTTTATTATATACAACATAACACCACTTCGGGTTCACCTATTTCATATCGATAACCTGTTTATATTATTCATCATCATTATCATTATCATTATCATTATCATCATCATCCACCTAGGCTAAAAAAACTTACTTAAACAGAGTAAATGCGGACGAATGGGCGAATAGTCGTCTGGGGGTAAGCATCCGTTTAAATCTGAGCGGATAATCGTCCGTGAGCGAGTATCCGTTCATTTTGGGTAAATAAACAATGGTACACAAAAAATAAAATTACTTCATTTACTCAAAAAGGGTAAATATTCGTCCGGGGGCAACTGTTCGTTCATTTTGAGTAAAATATATAGGTTGCACAAAAATTTAAGCTTTTTATCCGTTCCATTTACCTGCAGCAGACGAGTATTCGTCTATGGGCGAGTACTTACTCACATTGGGTAAATAAAAATTACTTTATTCGTTCCATTTACCTGCAGCAGACGAGTATTCGTCTATGGGCGAATACTTACTCACATTGAGTAAATAAAAATTACTTCATCCGTTCCACTTTCCTGCAGCAGACGAGCATTCGTCTATGGGCGGATACTTACCTAGATTGGGTGAATAAAAATTGAGATCCAAACCTTAAAATTACTCATTCATTCCATTTACCTGAAGCAGACGAGTATCTGTCTTAGTGTCCTGTTGTCAAGAAGCCGCGTATACAAAAAAAATTATCTGCCTCCAGTCATCCCTCCGTCGTAACAGCAACCTCTAAAAAGTACATATAAACGGAGTCTTTTTTTTTCCTTTTCTGTTTCCTTTTCCTTTTCCTTTTTTCTTTTTTCTTTTTTAATATCTATTTTTTATCTTTTTACCTTAATAAATCAGTTTTTTTTTAAAAAAAAAATTACTTTTATTCGTTCTTGTTTCTCGTAACCATGTAACTGAATAAACGTCTGGGCTTACTTCTTTTGCAATTACACTCTGGTAAACTCATCATTCCATCTCTGAAGTCCCTCCCCTTACTTATCTCTCTTTTAAATCAGCATAGACAGGTGTATAAAGGCCGTGCTTACAGTGTACTACCCCAGTGCTATAAGTAAGTGTTTTTCGTTTATGGCTTTTCTTTTCTCTAATTATCTCTTCAGACTTAAGCTTCTTGTTTTTACCGTAGTGG